CTAGGTATTCTGGAAGCAGCAGCAGTTAGGTATTTCAACTGTCAAGCCACAAATCAACAATATGAAAGTTAGATTGTCTGTTTTCTGTCAAAAGTCCTGATGGTATTTAAGCAGAACCGATTCACCTACTTATCACTTGTCAAATTTTGCATTAAAACGTTACACATTTTCAATGTTTCAGCATTAGGCTTAAAACATAATATTCTAGTTTTTTGTGAAAATTAGCAAAAGTTGGTTACCCTTTATATGCATATTACATGTATAAATCATTTCAGAAGATGTTCCAAAACCAGTTTCCCAAGTGATCCTCATACTATCAAAACATGAACTAATAATTAATACCTTCATTTTGACAAGAAAAATACCAGATATATTCAATGCAATAATATATTCAATGCAGGGTTTCCCAGGGTTAAAAAGAACCGACAGCTGTTTGTTCAGCTTACTTCTGAAAAGAAGAGGAAGTTGAACTAGGACACATTTGTGAAGGTGCCGCTAGTGTAAGTAGATAAAAAGCAGTAGTACAAAACTGCGAGCAGTGTAGGGCTTTTAAAATTCTTATCAACTCCAACAGAATGCTTAGCGTATGACTATCAGTTTTGGAATTTCTGATAAGCAATGAAGAGGATAAGAGACGGTATATTTTTTGCATTTTGCTGACAAATCACCGTATTCCTATTCCGGTAAATGTTCCTCAGTGAAACGCACAATATAGCTTGTCACTTCAGATATAAAGCCCAAAGAATGCATTGCCAGTGCATTCCCACGTAAGATAACAATAAAACCACTTGAAATACCACAGATGTACTGAGTGCAACTGTCGACATTTCTATTATCCACAAAGAGGTGATTCATACATTTGGTATCCTGTTCAGAAAGACGCTCGAGTTTCTCTTATTTGCATGGAGATTCCTGCTGGTTCCTGGCTCTTGAATTAATCAGTCAAAACATAATAAACTTCAAATACTCTGAAGAATAAACTCTCCACATAATGTGCACCCGTTATCCATAGTCAGAAAACCTCTTAACCTGCTGAGGTTTGCAGATAGCATTTCCCACAGACATAGGGTACAAGGCGGGACCAGATGACCTGGACCTGGACAGGATGCCAGAGCATCACACGCTTAAGGAAGGATCACTTCAGAGTAGCCAATCATGTCAGAGCACAGAGCAGAGAGCACCCACCCTTGAACATAAGACCTAGACCTGTGAGGTAACAGCAGTAACCGCAAGGTTATCCAGCAGTTGTAAGTGTAGGATTCAAGCTAATGTAAAAAAAACAAACAGTTAAGTAATCAAAAGCGAAAATGTATAAATTCCACACTCCCCAGCCAGACTGAGCACAGAATAATAAGTGTCAAAGTAGGAATGAATACAATTAAGTTTACAAAATGACTTCCACGCTGGAGTAATTTGTGTTTGCAAAAAAAACCCACAGAAGAACAAGCCTTCTGCCATGTGGGGATGGTACAGTCATTACAACAGTCTTTTCACTTGCCACTGTGCCAGCACTCTGGTTTTCAGAAGCTCAGGTACACAGTGAAAAGGTGTATAAAATAAGTGGTTTTTGCCCATACATTCTCTCATGAAGTCTTGAGCCTACTCTCAGTCTGCCCTCAGCCAGAAAGATGGCGAGGGTCTCTCACCTGTATACCCCACCAGGCATTCGCACACATATCTGTCCTTCTCGTTGACGCAGGTGCTGTTATTCTCGCAGGGCCTCGAGGCGCACTCGTTGATGTCAATCTCGCAGTTGTACCCCTGAAATCCGGGCACGCAGAAGCAATGGTACTCGTTGATCCCATCCAAGCAGATGGCTCCGTTTTTACAGGGCAGAGACAGGCATTCGTCAATGTTTACTTCGCAGTGGCCCCCCGAGAAACCTGGGCTACACTCACACTGGTAACCACCATCTGAGTCGACACAGGTTCCATTGTGGTGACAGGGGCCAGCCAAGCAGTTGGTCATTTGAGTTTGGCATCTGTCCCCAGTGTAGCCATTGGGGCACTGGCATGTATATCCATTGATGCCATCGACACACTCTGTCTTGTATCCAGAGCAGGGGTTGCTCTCACATTCGTTTATGTTAATGGTGCAGTTTGTGCCCGTGAACCCCAGTGGGCAGCTACAATTGTACTCCGTAGTTCCTGGGGTGCTGGTGCAGTTTCTGTATCTTGGGCAGGCCTGCTCTGAACAGGCGTCGTACAGCTCCTCGCAGTTCTTCCCCACATACTTGAGAGGCTCCTCGGGGCACAGACAGAAGTAGTCCCCGGGATTCTCTATGCAAGTGGCGTTGTTCTTACAAGGGGAAGATAGGCATTTGTCCAGGGTCTCTGTGCAGAAGATTCCTGCAAAGAAGATGAAAAATAACACCAATTAATGCTGATTGGATCTGAAGTTTTTAAGGAAAGTTTAGGTGAGATGACAGCAACCAAGTTCTCCTTCACATCTGCCCCTCTAACTTCTAATCCTCGATGGTATTGTTTATCAAAAAGCTATAAATACCACTGTAAATTCGTCTCCTCCTTGCAATTGTCCCTCCTTTACCCCAGATCCCCCTTCGGAGCGATGCCTTGCTTAGCTTCTCCCACGCCATGGGGGTCCTTAATTCCTCCTCCTACAACCAGATGGTTAACCCTCAGCCAAGTAGGTTAAGCCCAAGCTTCTTAACCCCTCAATAAACATTCCTAAATGCATTTTCTGTGTTTATGGCGTTGGGGCTCTACGACTAGGAGATCGACAAAGACAAAGGTACGTGGGGGAACCTTGGGATTATCTTCATCATTCTAGCATGATGGTGATGCCTTGGTCAGGATCTCTCTTCTAGTGATGTAAGTGGACTGTCTCAAACATGACACTGTTTCATGTTATCTCCGTGCTGGGGAACCATGTGCGTTTTTGCAGTCTTCCAAAATGATCCTTCTATTTATAAACTCTGCCATGCATTCGCTTCATAATTACCTGTTTGTTATATATACATTTGGCGAGTCTACATATACAGTAGATTGCAGTTACTTATGTTTTAAACTGTTCAGCACGGCTTAACAGAAACGCCTAGTAATAGGACAGGACTGATGGGGACAATGTACCCAATGCAAAGTCTAAACAGTCAGACCTATCTGTGTTTTTCACACTATCCGGAGTAGTGCAGCATCTCCCTGCCTGCCGTGGTCTCTTTGCAAACCCCAGAGGCCAAAGATGTGTGGCAATTTGAGGATAATGTGGCCAACTCAGTTAAAAAAAGATCATTTTGGGAAGGCAAAATATTTCCCTGGACAGTACATATCCATTAAATAAATATTGTCTTTTTACCCATTACAGTATATTACAATTGGCTTCATACACAGTATATATAGGAATGGATTCTGAATTTCTGTCAGCGATCTCACACCATCACTACTTCTTGTGTGGGTAAAGGTATGAGGCGCTGAGAACTCAACCAAGATGAGGAGACATCCCCTCATGGCATAAAACCTGTAATGTAAACTAAATCCTGCACCTTGACCTGAACTTTACTGACTCCCCTCCCTGTCTCACTGCCTGACGTCACCCTTAAAGAATCTCTCATGAATCATTGTTCCAAGAGATCCCAAAAATGCACAAAAACGCAATGATCCAATTCAAACCTATGGAACTACTAATTGTCAAGGCTCGTTGTCTATATTAAATATTCTTTCTGCAGCTTAGGTTATCTGTTCATCTAGGTTTAAATGGTTTCCAATTTAAAAAAAAATAAAACAGATTTTGGTCTGACATTTTCAGGGTAAGACCAAGACAGGCTATTAAAGCTCAGCACCATTAACCTGATAAGATAAGGGAAAAGTACGTTTTCTTTAACCTCCCAACACTGAGAGCTAGGAGTCACAGAGGAATGAGCTACAGTTTCCATAAGGAAAGGCAACAGTTTGGAGGAGGTCATGTGCTTGAACTTTAACCCAGTCTGGAATATCTCCCTCGCATGCCAGTGCATTTTTTCCTTCTTGTAAGTGTCATCTACCTTTATACTAAAAGCTTTGCAACAGTCTTTTTAAACCTTATTTTCCAAACTATCTTATCAAGATGCCTCGGAAGCATTGCCATGCTAGAGTAGGATAGCAAAGAGCAGGAGCACAAAGAAGATGCGTCCATCCGACAGCACGCGGTGTGTTTTTATTGATGAACTACGTTAACGGCGGGAAGGGGGAGTCAGATCAGTCCCAGCCTACAATTTACACTCAGCTATCTGCACGACTGCACTGTTTAGTCTATCCGCTGATGTCCACTGATACAAAAACCCTGCTGATGATCTGCAAACTGAGGTAATCCTTCCGGACACCTGCGTAGATTTAACTCTTGTAAACATACACGCTTTGACAAAAGACAAGAAGCCTGTAGAGTGTAAATTGACAACAGTAAGTATGGTTTTTAGACGCTAGAATGATGAACTGAGTCTTCTAATCTTCCCTATTACATTGTAAAGTGCTTTAAGATTAAACGTATTCAAAATGTCATTAGGGAACTACAATTGAATTGGATAATTGATCGATACTTTTTATAAAAATAATTTTCACTACCTATCTATTTCCAGCGTGAGTTATATTGAGAATTCAAATAACGGCGTTCCCAAAATAAATAACACCCACCTTTATTTAGTATTTCGGCTTGAATGGATTGATCAGGGTAAAGAGTTTGAAAGCTACAGGTAAGTATATTTCCCCCTGGAATTATTATAGCACTGCAACTTGTAATCCTATTTAAATCCTTGTGGATATGGACTATTCTGTTTTAAAAGATCACTTACATTTTTGTGCCTGGCTATATGCAGTTTGCCTGAAAGGAAAATAAGAGCTGGTGACTGAAAGGATGCTATCCAAGACTAAGCACTATAGGAACCGAGCTACTGCATTGAAAACAAAAAACACCAAACAGGCCCCCAAAGATCTCCTTTGAATCGCTTTTGCTTGTTTCAAATTCACAGCACAGCGGAGTCAACCAGCCCTGGATGGAACAGGAAGAAAGGGTTTCTGCCCCGCCATTGTCTGACAGCCCCAGCCAATCGTGTGGTTATTCGTGGAGTCACTCTGCATTCCACTGCCCTGTTCTTCCTGCGCCCTTTGATCAGGGCTTTGTTCTATATTATTTCATTCAAGCAGAAAACTTTAATAACAGAGTCGGGGGGGGGGGGGGGGGGGGGGGAGGAATTTGAACCAATTAATCCCATGGGAGAAGGGAGCTGCTTCCAGCAGACACCCAGATTTTAGTGGATAATTAAGTCCCTTGTTTTTCTTATACTTACAACTAACAGATGGCTGGAGCTCTAAGCTGCTAGCACGCCTACACTAACTGAGATCACCTGACCAGAGCTAGGAAAGTCAGTGAAGACACTATAGAGTGAGCATCACAGTTCAAACGGATAACAGCACCAGCTAAAGGCTTATTAGTGAACTCCACCCTTTACAGTGGACTCACCGAAGTTACTCATCTCATTGGATTTTCAATTACTAGCTCAAGGTGCTTATTCTTTGGTAGCAACCTGTAGATGACAAAGTGTTTTTTTTTTCCTTTCAAGCAAAAAGCATTCAAGCATTCACCAAAAAAGAAAAGCTTGGAAACTAAGAGATAAGAGAAAACCCCCTGGAATCTTGACTCTGAGCCTTCCTAGTCAGAGTAGTGAATGATTTACTTTTCTATCACTTCCCCAAGATATGTTCTTGGCACACGAATATAATTATGTTTACAGTAATCGTTCGATTTGATTCAATTTAAGTTGATCTTCTTTGTAAATCTATCAAAACATCATTACATAGATGGATAATTCAGTCAGCCTTCTGCCAGATGTTGTCTTCTGTGCTTGCTCATAGAGCTCCTTGACTAATTTAATTAATTTAATTAGAGAAGGATACTTTTTAAGGGGTAATAACAAGTGAGCTTGCTGACTGCGTGCAGTATCTCTAGATTATGCATGTAAGATCCTAAATATCTTTGGCGACTGCGATGCTGAAATACTTCCATATCACTGAACACTGCAAACAAAAATCATTGGACTTTATGTACTATGGTAAAGGTTTATTCCCTGCTGAAAAGAGAAGAAAGGAAACAATGTTTCAGCTGTGGAGCCTTCATCTCACACCCGAAGAAGGCTCCACAGAAATGTTGTGTTTCCTCTACTTGTTCCTTTGCAGCCTACGCATGCTGACGCAGCTCCCTTCTTGAACTACTTTATGTGTTATGTACTTCTATAAACCAAATTCCATCGCATTTCGCCATTAATCTTTCTATGGTTTGGTTAATTAGTTTCTAGTGTGTCCTGTGAATAATCAAACCACCTGGTATCAGTAAAGTGTTTCTCCTGCTGGACCGCAGGACGTAGGGCGTTAACTGTACTCTCACTGGACGGTCCGTTGCAAGGTTGTGGAGAACCTGACAAGTTAAAAAAGTCAATCCAACCTACCCTGCACTGCTTTGAGAGGTGGGAGGAAACCGAAGACTTGGCTCACCAGCACGAGCACCAGTCCAAGTTTGTGTTATCCCCAGACTAGGCTTCAAAGCAGTGTGACTATTGGCAATGACCATAAAAGCTGTTCACATAATTCCACATTAAAAAAGCTTGAATACCATAGAGTACAGAGTGAAAAACTGAAACGTTCGTCTGATCGAACAACAAAGACAATTTACCGGGACTGTGGGATATGGATTGACACAGGTTAATTACTGTATGTAATTAATTTAGGGTTGCCTGAGACAGGAGCTACTGCTGAGGGTTGTTAGACAAGGAAAGATGTCGTTAGAGAGCAACTGTATTCTAATACAATGTAGTCATTCTTAGGGGTAAAAATCTGGAGAAACAAAGACTTATCTCCTTTCACTGCAGTGTGAAACACAGATTACACATCCTGCTAAACTTCACCTCTATAGAGACTGTTAGATTAATAGCCCTCTGCTACTGTAACACATATTGTTTCAAAATACATATACTCAGACTCAGTTTCAGTCTCATTTAGGTGGTGCTCACTGCTTCTAAAATGCCTCAAGAAGTTTCTTTTATCTCCTACAAAAATGTTTCCCCCTCAAATTTACAAGAGGGCAGTGCCAATATTATAGATTCTGATAACTTTAATGATAAAATGGTAAATAATAAAGGCAGCTTCTGCTTTGCTATCCCTAGAAAATGAATAGATGATATGGTAGGTGGTGACTTTTTGCTGAGATGTGACTTTGATATAAATAATCTCCCAATCAGACTGTTCGTTTTTCATCAGCAGTCTTTGTTATCTTGGAAATATACAGAATAACAGATATATTGCATAAAAAGAAGAGTATATTTTATTAATCCTGGTTAAACAAGGGTATTTGATCAGTTGTGCATCTA